TTTTGATGGTCTTGTAGGAAAACGAAAAAAGAACAAAACATAGGCATAAACCAACACCATGGGAAGAAAAATTTTACTCACTTCTTGCGTATTCAGCGCTTCTCCAGGTAACTGAAACTTAATAGAACGTGTAAAAACTTCAAAGGCTTGAGAAAGTGCAATTCCGGACATAATGCATGCTGCCGGAGCAAGTACAAGCATAAGACGCACCTGTAGTATCATCCAAAAATAAATGTGTTAAAGGGCAGATAATGTGCATTAAATGATTAAAACTTTATTTTGATGTCAGAAAATGGTTCTTACCATAACTCCAGAAAAGTACACTGCTGTAGCAATGTAGAGGATTACAAATGAGCTAGCATCAGATAACGGTGAAAAGCATGCCTACCAAAGGTAGAAGTTTAGGTAACATTTCTGATGATTGGAACATTTAGGAAAGATAAACAACTAGTCTAAAAATTACATAACTTACAATGATACCAGCTGGAACCAAGAATGCCAAAACGTTGATGTCCATAAAGTAAGAAGGCCAAGTAGGTGGTTGATGCTCACTAACACTAGCAATTATCGGTATGTACTTGCTTGCATAAGTTCTGTTTGATTGCAACAAGATGAGATAAATGTGAAGAGTGCTTCAGGAAATAACAATAGAATAAGATATTGCATCATTTACTTAGAAACACTTTCCCATGCCAACGGTACCATAGATTCCTGAAAATGATAAAATTTTACTTCCAAGAAGGAAGGGGGGAAAAAGAATAATTTGAAATATTGAAGTGTTAAAGTGGAACATAAGCGCACATCTCACGTTTTACATCCCAATAACTCAAGGCTAGACGAAGACCAGAAAAACAAATAAAGTTGGCAGGATCAACTATGTAGTTAGATATGATAGCAGCCAAGAGATTAGATCTACCAATTTGCGTCATTTTTTATGAAGGACTAAATCTTAACCACACCACTATCACATATGATTCATTCAACTATCACAAAAATTCTGTGATAAAAGCAACATGATTCTGTGATAGTGTGATCTGGTTTCTTACGGATCTAGAAGACTCAAACTACGCCCACTCCACCCCTTGGTTGGGCTGGAAGCTACAAGAGCTATGAGAACCGCAATGACTGCACAGCAAACTGCCCTGAGGAATAAATAATGAAGTATGGAGGTCAATTGCATATTCCTCCTAAAATGCTCTCAGCAGTGGGGTTTGGGGGCTTTTTTTCGTGTGTGGGTGGTGGTGGGGGGATAGAAAGCTTACAGCCCAATAGATACTACAAGAGTCACAGCTACTTTAAACATTTTCTGGGAGAGAATTCCTTTGATATAATAAACAAGAGCCACCACATGGATAATGATGAAAACCTGAAAACAAACCAGGAACGGGAAGGAAACAAGTCGTGAACAAAAAAAATATATATGTATTTTTTTTTTCTGAACAGACTAAACAATTTCATTTGACATTGTCACACATTTATTAACTATTGAGACAGAGAAAATATAATAATAAACTTCAGCACTAATAGCCATAAATTTTCTTGTTGCTATTTAAAAATTTATTGATCTTCTTTAGAGTTCTTGCAAAAACCCATAATCTAGAATATTTATAGTTTAAAGCTGCTACAAAATTGATGTACTCCACAGTCCATTAATAACAAGCTTAAAAGGAAAGTGCAATTGAATCCTTTAGTATACCCCGTTAGTCATAAGTAAGCCCAAGGCAGTATGAAACTAAAATTTGAGAACTAGAAAATTTACCAAAAATAATTAGACACCGTTAATTAAATTACCAGCAACAATACTAACCAAAAATGATGCAAAATGTTCTGATGTCATCACCGCATTAAATCCAACAACAGGCACCAGTGCAGCCAACAATGTTCCTAAGACAACCTGAATTGTGAAATCAATAATTTTAAGACAAGCTAATGAATCTCGAACAAACATTAAATTTGACATCAAGGCATTATGTTTTTGCAGTGTTAGATTTCGTTTCAATCGGTTAAAATCTAAAAAATTCACGGGGAAAAGGCACTCCAAGTTGAGACAGTCAACACTTACAAGAGGAGCATATGCAATGTACAATCGAGGAGAATAGCGCCCAGTTACAATGCACAAGAGTGCATGCATTGGAATAAGATTAATAATGAATGTGTAACCTCCCCAAGAGCAAACCTGAATGGAGAGGGAAATGAAGAAATAAATAGATAGAAGAAGAAGAAAAGAGTAAAGACAAAAATGAATAAGATAGGAATGCAAACAAGATAAATAAGAAAATAATTGTAAAATGATGAAGCACAAATAAAGATACCAACAGCACCAGTAGACAAGTCTTACCATGTAGAAATATGCAACGGCATTTAAAGTGGCATAGAAAAGGGATCCAGTATTCAATGTCTGCATTTGTAACCAGTTCAGTCTATGGTCAAGTAGATTATAATAAGATAATTCAAATAAACCCATGCACCAGTAACTCAATCTGACTACAGCGAAGCAACTCCTTTGGTACAGTATTTGAAACAATAAGAATATGCATGCCTCTATTCTTAACAAATTAAAATTCTTCTTGTATGGCAAAAACTTACCTTAATATAAAGATAGAAAGTGAAGATCAGAGCAAATATAGCTACAGCTTCATTGTCATAGCTGCCGGCCACAGACCGCGATATGTATGATGGAACCTGTAAAAAGATGTAGCGGCCACTAAACCATATATTTTCACATCTATACATTTCAAAGTTTCAGACGAGCACACAATTCTTAGTAGATAAGCATGATGCTAGAGATGCACTGAGGTCAAGCAGCCTGCACGCATGGAAGATTCTTTAGGGTTTGTAGCAAAATTACATTAGAACTTGGTTCATGCGAAAGCAACGCAACAAGTACAAGTCATGTTGACTGTTCCACTAAAAAATAGAATGATAGAAATTGGACGTGGATCAAACTTGGGAATGAAAATGATAGTCACCTATTCTTAATGGCGGTATTTTCTAAAAGCCATTAATTACGGGTAAGCACTTCTATCAGAAACACCCCACTCTCAAAACAAAGACATACTGAGCCTGACGTGGCTACAATAAGCTGATTCAGTGTGTCAAATAAATTATTTGAATACAATTTTAAGTTACTAAATGTAGGGAAATTTCAAAAGGTTAGTGTTTGATGTTATTGCGATAATGGTCAGTAAAAGATTTAAGGGGTCTAAAAGTGGATTTTACAAATATCACTGATGTGTAAATACCATGGCCAAAAGAGCTGCAGCTGTCAGTCCAGCACCAGCGCCTTTAACTTCCTGAGAAATAACACTGGGATTATTTTGACAAATCAGAGAGCACAGCATGTGTTGAAAAAATGTGGCCCGTTGCAAGAATCCAAACCTTTGTTAACAAGTAAGTTGCCCATGAAGCAAAAGCAGAGAATATGGGTGCAGTAAATACACAAACAGTTTCCACGGATAAAGGAATGTTCAAGGCATTTAATACCCTAGCAAAATGCAATAGAGAGAATATTAGTCAGTATAGGACACTAATAGCAAGGATTGTTAAATTCTTCCATCTCGTTAAGAAGAGGCATTGTAAAGAATGCTTGTCTCCTTTACTGATAAGCAGATGAGATGATAAGAAGGATTGATATTTCTGAATCAATTAAAATAAATTCTCAAATACACACCGCCATAATGTGCCTGCAGTTAATGTGAGACCCGGATAAACGGTTCCACCAATTACTCGCCCTAGAGGATACCTAGAAAATTAACATACAAAACCACTTTATAGCTGATAGGGTAGAAGAAATAGAAGTACAAAGCATGGAGACTTGGCTCCGAGAATTTGCTGCCCAACAGAGTGAAAAAAACTACCAGGTCCGATCATCAAACCAGTTCCAAAATTCATAAATTCCCTTCTTTGAAAGATACTGAAAAGAAAAACACAGAAATCATCTTCCGGTACAACTGGGGGGCAATTATGAGAGATTGGAACGCGATATTATTGAGCAAAGCTAACATAATATGCCCGTAACTCCTAGCCTTCAGCATTATAAAAATCCCATATAAGCAATAAAATGAACAAGACTCGTCAGAAAACAAACCTGGGTAACTCTGTAATTAAAATAAGGATCAAATTCGTGAATAACACTCTCGTACTTTATCACCTGCAATCGTTGCACAAAACAATGTGACAAAAGGCTCGTACCAATATACACGTTCAAAAAGTGAAGCAAAAAAAAAAAGACTCTGAACTCCTCTTTAAACTAATTCTCCTCGTTCCAATTAAACCAAGGAGACAGATGCAGCATTTCAACAAAAAATTAATCTAAACTAAACCATCTATATTAAACAGAGTTTTGTGGTGGCTCTGAATGAAAAATTAAGAGAGCGTCAGATCAAGAAGGCAGGAGAAATAAGAGATCGAAAAGCTTACAGAGAAGAGCCGAATTGAGAATGCGAGAACGCCAATCAAGATGAGAATGAAGAAGGATAGAACATTTCCGAATGCGTGTCTCAGTGTTGAGGCTTTGGGGGAGGGAATTGAAGCCGCCATTGACGGCCAGAATAAGGATTGAGAGTGTCCGGAAGGGGAGTAGGTCTCGCAACTCGCAACTCGCAACTCGCAACTCGCCACTCAACTGGAAACGAACCAGAGAGGTACAGACGACTTTACAAACATGTATTCCCGAGTCTTAAGTCCCCAGTCCACGTCTGGATTTGGAACACCTTTTATTTTTATTCCTATTTTTTTT